TTCGAGGCGCAGCGCAAGGTGGGCGGGCGGGCGGTCTCCCTCGGCACCTTCGATTCGGCGGTGGAGGCGGCGGTGGCGTACGCGCGGGCGGTCGCCGCCGCCCCCCCCCCCGCCGCCGCCGCCGCCACTGCCGTCACCGCCGCCACTGCCGCCACCTCCACCGCTGCCGCCGCTGCCACTGTCGTTGCCGCCGCCGCCGCCGCCGACGTGCTCGAGCCTCCACACGGACTGAGGCTGGATGCTAGCGCGGCGGGTCGCGCCGAGGAGACGGCGGTCGTGCTCTCTGGCATGGACTTGCCGTCCCACGGCGGCGAGGGCAGCGCGGAGTCCGCCGTCGTGCAGACGGACTCCGACAAAGAGGCGGCAGCGGCGCTCCTCCGGGCGGGCATTGTGGCGGAGGCGGAGGGGCTGCAGCTGCACCTCTCGAGCAGCAGCAGCAGCGGCTACAAGGGCGTGACCAAGCGCGTCTCTGGCCGCTTCGAGGCGCAGCGCAAGGTGGGCGGGCGGGTGGTCTCCCTCGGCACCTTCGATTCGGCGGTGGAGGCGGCGGTGGCGTACGCGCGGGCGGTCGCCGCCGCCGCCGCCGCCACTGCCGTCACCGCCGCCACTGCCGCCACCTCCACCGCTGCCGCCGCTGCCACTGTCGTTGCCGCCGCCGCCGCCGCCGACGTGCTCGAGCCTCCCCACGGACTGAGGCTGGATGCTAGCGCGGCGGGTCGCGCCGAGGAGACGGCGGTCGTGCTCTCTGGCATGGACTTGCCGTCCCACGGCGGCGAGGGCAGCGCAGACTCCGCCGCCGTGCAGACGGACTCCGACAAAGAGGCGGCAGCGGCGCTCCTCCGGGCGGGCATTGTGGCGGAGGCGGAGGGGCTGCAGCTGCACCTCTCGAGCAGCAGCAGCACCGGATACAAGGGGGTGCGCGAGCCGCGTACTGGCCGCTTCGAGGCGCAGCGCAAGGTGGGCGGGCGGGCGGTCTCCCTCGGCACCTTCGATTCGGCGGTGGAGGCGGCGGTGGCGTACGCGCGGGCGGTCGCCGCCGACGCCCCCGTGCAGACGGACTCCGACAACGAGGCGGCAGCGGCGCTCCTGCGGGTGGGCGTCGTGGCGGAGGCGGAGGGGCTGCGCCTGCACCTCTCGAGCAACAGTACCGGCTACAGGGGCGTGTACAAGGTCAACGGCCGCTTCCAGGCGGTGCAGATGGGCGGGAAGAAGGTCTCCCTCGGCTGCTTCGGCACGGCGGTGGAGGCGGCAGTGGCGTACGCGCGGGCGGTTGGGGAGCGCGAATAAGAGGCAACTCGCAGCTCAAGATGCTCTCGCACCGGATGGCGTGTGGGGCGCGAGTATGTGGGTCTGTGAGCATGTGGGTCTGTGTTTGTGTCTATATGACCTATCCTCGCTATAAATAATAAAAGGGACGCTGCCGCGTACGGCTACGGGGGAAGGGGGGAAGTGAGATGTGAGAGTACCACAGGAGGCACGCCGTCTTAGGTTTCTTTCGTGGTGTACCCCTGTGTGAGTGTGCCAGCCGTGCGCGCCAGTCACTTTGTTTGGGCGAACAGCAACAGGTGAGACGTCTCTGTCTCACGGGTGTTTCGTCCCTGTCTCAACGCTGTGCCACAAACATGCGTCTCAGTAATGTCTCACGGACTCTCACCGATCTCTGCGTTGTCTCAGCCTGGTCACAGCAACAGACAGCCTCACTTTGTCTCAAGGATGTCACACACACGGCACAGTCACCTTCAGAGACGTGTTTGAGACACCAGTGAGACAAATGTTCCGGCGGTGGTTCGAATCCACACGAGCCGAAGGTGAGGAGGGGGCTTGAGGTCTGAAGCTCACCCAATGAGGAAGTGAGGTACTGCTCGGTCCGGCTCTGATCATGCTGAACAAGTTCCTCTTGTAGCTCGATCGGTCACACCGCCATCGCCGTCGGGGAGAGGGGGGACGACACTGCTGCAGCAGCGTGCACCTCGATCCTGCACCGTGTTTGTTATGACCCCCCCCAATGAACACACAGTGAGGGAGGGCGAGACGATCGAGGGGTCCCGTACCATGCGGAACCGACCCTATCCAGTGCTCAAGTGCTCAAGACAAATGTTCACCCCTGCTGTGTGACACTGTCGTCTCTACTACGTCTCGTCATTTCATCTCAGAGCATCTCACACTCGTCTACGGTGAACAAGCGGCAATCCTCGTCTCACTCGGTCTCACAACGGCATAGTTGCTGCGCCAAGGAGCGCGACTCGTCTCACTTGCTTCTGA